TAAAGCTAATTTGACAACGCTGTACTTCATTTATTTGGTTTTTTTTTCATTCTAACAGGTAACCAATATCACATCTCACTCTCATGCTGATGCTATTAAAAAAACTAAAATTAATTTTATAGACTTTGTTTGCTGTTTTTAAAACATATGTATAAAGTAATGAAAAAAGCTCATACCTGTTTGTTAGACACGAAAGATCTTCGGAACTGAAAAAATATTTGTTCGAATGCTGCTTCTAACCTATCTAGAGGAGAAGTTCAAATACGCTTTGGATATTAAACAAAATGATAACAACAACCGAGATAGCAAGAGGCTAGGGGGCTTTTAGTGCCCCTCTACGAAAAGTGTTTACCGCCTGTCCCTAGATGTTTCTGTTTAATGAATCATAAATAATGTATATTTGGGTATAAGTGAACACGATAACCAATCAAAAATACATGATTGAAACAGTGTTACTGAAATTGCAATCGAAAATACAGAAAATATACAATAAACGGAATTGCCAACTGACTTATATTTGAAGTCAATTAACCTCGTATGATTCGAGTCGAGGGGCAAATCACTCCATAAAACTTTTTTACACCTTCAGTAGAATTTCTATCGTTTAATCTGAAAATCTCTCAAACCCCTTTTTTTCATCATGAAATCTCGTGCGCTGTTTGCAAGAGTAAAGTACCCTTTAGTTTTCATTTTGTTATTTTCTTTTCGAGTCAACTTTCATCTGGGAGAGAAACATGGAACACTTGAAATACTTTGGGCACAGATTGTAACCAAATACTTGATATGGAATCAAAGACTAAATGAAATCTAAGGAGTATTCTTAGCAGATTTATGTTGTTACCTTGGTGAAGAGTAGGATTCAACTCATAACCTGTTTCCATTTTAAATTCTTGAAAGATTTTCATCAATTTTGAAATGTTACTTTTTACTGGCTGCAGTGGAAAGACGCACTGAAATTGTAATGGAACTTCAATTACTTTTAACGGCAGTAAGAGCTGGCTGATGCAGCTTAGTCAGCAAACTTTGTGCTTATAAACGTATTTAAATAAACATTAAACAAAATATTCATCTTAAATTAAATCAGATTGAAACTGCTTGGCGAAAAAATGTTGACAGAGCTATTAAGTTAGACGAAAAATTCTTCTCATTTTCTTTTCTTAACCCAAAAATAATTAAGGACGTTTTTTCTGCAGCCAAACAGTGGCATAGATAAAGGATTTCATAGGAGGGGCGAGAAATTTAGATTTTCCGACAAAAAACTCACAGGAATTTGTAATGTTTTCATAAATTTGAACATAGCATAATGACATTAGAACTGAAATAGAACATCTTATCACGTCTTATCATTTATTCCAAGTCAAGTGTCATTAATCATACTATTTGAAGATTTTCTGGCCTTTTCCTCTAAAAAGCCGTTTTTAAGTACAAATATCTTATTGAAAAGGATTATTAATCTGATTCAAAACAACGGAAGATATCGTTATATTCAGCTTTAAAATCATTCCTCTCAAAATTTAGCAATTAGATGAAAATTTATAACTCCGTAAAACTGCGAAAAGATCAGAAGTTTTTAGCTTCAAAGGGGGTTTTTCGCCCGCTCTGACCCCTCTCTAACTACGTCACTGCAGCCTAATCATTTCTTAACACTTGCGTTATTAAGGCTGATACGTTGAAATACTAGCCTATTATCTTTAATTAATTTTAAATCCATAACAAACAAACAAAAAATCATGAACTATTATTACTGATATCTGTTTTATACTACCTCGATTAATACCTACATAATACCTTATATTACCGACAATAATTACCTCGATTTCTCTTCCCAGTACAAAGACGCTCAAGGACGGAATTCTATTGATCCTACCAGCATTTGCAACCAACGCAAAGAAGCGGGACAACGCTTGCAATACATTTGCACTGACCTCTGCTGTCCAAGGGTAGACAGTGTCTATCAGTAGGGTCCGAACTGTGAGAAACAGAACCAACAAACCATATATTTTCTTTCTTTTCATATTCTTTTAAAGTTCTAAAAATCTTCTAACAACCGATATATGTATAATAATAATTGATACATAAGTTTCTTTCATTTCTTACCACATATTTCAGAAATTTTATCTGCCATATTTGTTAAAAATAGCCCAAATATTCGTTAATATTTTAAAGAAATTGAAGTGCACAGCATCCGATAAAACCATAAAAATGTTTAATCTTTTATATCAAAATGTACATTTTTATATGCTGAAATATCGTCATTTTTTATATGTTTCTATTCAAATATCCCTTGTCCGAGCATGGGGTATTCCAGGAGCTTATTGTAGATTAGTTCAGACCATTGATACCGAGGTCTGAACCAAGCCAACTCGGCTTTCGGGTTGGTTTTTTTTCACAAAATAATGAACAACGAAATTTGAATTAACGATACAAAGCAAGATTACTAAGGAAGATTGGATGCCGGGTTGAAAATATCACATAATCGTCAACGCCCATCAAACTCTAGCTTTCACTTCAAATGTGGTATCAAAAATGAAACGACATCGGTACCACTGGCTACAAATAGCTTCCGTTGACAATTCTTCGATTAGGGTTCCTACGCAAGAACAATGGAGTTCTTATCTTGCAAGGGACGAGGAGTGCCCTTTGAAATTCAATGCTAGCGATATCAATGTGAATCTGATTTTATTAAAACACCTGATATGATGCATTACTAGACTGGGTCAATCTACGATCATTAAACTAGGTTTTTGTTTTAAAAAATATTGAACTCAAAGTTTTTGGGCTCCTTGAATTTTTCTAGAGATATAATGGGGTCATCACAAATGAGTGTCATAATTCTCCATGTTGAAATGCTATGTTTGCCGCTTGGGGATGCCAGGACCGTAAAAGTGTAGAATTAAGCCCCTGATAATTCTAAGACAGTGCTTAATGGCACTCGTATTTTCATCTTATTTTCGTAGCGTGTTGAAATCGTCTCCTCTTATTGACAGACGCACGAATCCATAATATTCATGAAGTGGTACCTTAGTCCTCAGCAAAACATCCCCAAGATCAGTCGGGAAGAGGGTCATAATAAAAATGCTGAGAAAATTTACATCACGAGTTTTGTGAATCATTGGTTAAGTTGTTTCTAGAATGGAAACTTTTATCTCGAATTCTTTTCATTTTAAACCGGCGGACTCTACAGCAAAAACAAACCTGGGAATTTCTCGACTGCCTTTCTCGTTGCTTGATCCATGTTGTGCACTACCTATCGGGCTCTATGTAATAGAAAACAGTTTTTAGCTAATACAAGTCATCCAATCAAGCCAAGAATAAATGCCTTAGATTATAAAAATTTGCAAAAACGAGAATTTGTATGAAGCTTTGGAGAGTCATTTTTTTCCAACTTTATTTCAACACCTAAGTAGAGTATGTAAGTCATGTTCCAAAAAACTATTTCATTTTGCATATCACTTGTCGTAACAGTAGTGCACTAACTTTATTAGCAACAACAATCTATGATTTAATTTTGTACTTACCCTGCTGTTTTCTATTTACTTTCTGACGATCGCCAAACCGAATGTTTGTAGAGTAAGTTGCGTCATTTCAGATTCCCGCCAAAATCTTGATATGAAATAGAGGCTCATTGACAGAAAATCGAATTAAAAATTTAAATATAGAGAATTTACAATAAGTTTCAGCACTGTTTATATACCTATAGGCTGTCGGTTTACAAAATGAAAAGAACAAAGGTAGTACTAAAACATAATGTTTTTAATTAGCGTTGCTAGACAAATTGTTTCTAGTGTCAAGGTCACCCGTTTCACCAGTAGGGACAACATTTTGACGGGAACTAGAATCTCTAATGCAAAGTACTGCAGTTCTGAGTAAACAAAAACTAAGCTTTCTTTTGATCCAGGCAGAGGTTTCACTGAAATTTTGGTGATGTTTTTCTGCAATTAGTTCCCACACACGTTGGAAAAATTTCCTTGTTTCAATGCTCATACCACCATTGCATGAAAAAATCAATGGGGTAAAAGTTCCGTTTTCTTCATTCATAACAACCTGGTTGTATTTTCTCTTTTTTGTCAGCTCCATAGATCGGAAGGTTGCAGCTAAGGTTTTGCAGCAATAGCTAGGAGCGAAAGGGTAAAATACACTCGCATCAACAAATGCTCTTTGACAGAAAATTGAGTGAATTATCTTGGTAAGGGTTGGGGCAATATGACAATAACTGACTATAAAAGACGATGATTGCTGCATTTGAAAATCCTGCTTACAACAGAGTTATGTTTGGCATGCATGTGGACAGGCTAATGTAGAAATACGTGGTTCTTTGAGGAATCTATTACCTGATTATACGAGCAATAATTAGTATAGAGCAGATTGTTGTCAACACCATCTGTCTTAATAAATATCTAAATATGTTAATATAAATGCCTAAATATATGTTTAAATATGCTATAATTCTCAGTTGATATAAATTAGATAAAAAAGCTTTACAAGCATATGAGAGTTTTATGAACTGATATTCTCTTAGAGCCTGTCTAATACCATCTCTCTCGACTTAAAAATGCACCTTTAAAGATGTCAAGACATCTTTAAAATTTTCAAATATCAATAAAAAGCAAGAAAATGCATGGTTGCAAGTATTGCGTTGCATGGCATAGAGGATTTATGTTGTTGTCATTTATTCCGTTTGCTGTCCAACTTGCAACAACTGCAGTGTACTGGATTGCTTTTCTAAAACTTTTTTACTTCAGTTCACTGTGACAAAATAGATTCGCTACAAAGGAGAGCTACATACTAAGCATTCACAAATAAAATCACGAGAAACTTTGTGCTTTATACTAGTTTGGAGAATAGAACACGTATTACACGAATAATACCAGGTCTATCAAAATCGGAGAAACAACTAAATGCTTTTGTTTTGAAAAACCTAGCTTGAGTAAACAGTCGCTATACCTTCAAAACGAAAATCAACATATCGCATGTTTCTGTAGGCATTTTTATAGAACAACCATTTAAAGGTAATTATTCATAGTGTAGTAAAACCATCAATAGGGCTGATAAATATAGTCTTTCTTGTACAATCAGTCACTTCATAGTTTTGATGGTTGCAAAATAAATTTGATTAGGAATTCTGAAAGCTGAGTATTTTTGTTATTGGAATGCAGGTTTTTTGGTAACAAAAGCTGATCTGTATTGCTTTTAATTGCAAACATTTGCTTTCGCAGGTATCAAGTATTCTAGAAATGACGCTTTGTGCAGTCGTTGTACTTGCCGAGGTAGTTTTGAGAGGAGAAGAAAGAAGAAACAAGGGTAAGCTGGATTCATAGTACCTTATTTTTTACCAAGGTAAGATAATTTTAAAAAATATTATCAATATAGACTTTTAGCTATTCTTTGGCAAATGCCATGCTCGTGTAGATGCCCCCCAAAGTCTAACTTACGGGTATCATTTTTAATTTAAATAGTTATTCTAATGCTATCATTGCTATTCTAAAGCTATGAAACCAGATATTTATCAAGATAATTATAGAAAAATCAATAAAATTGTAAGTTACTGCTTGGAAAAAGCTAGAATGTCTCAATGACACAAAATTAATCAAAACAATTTTTTTTGGGCCCCAAATGACCCAACTTGGCCATTTACGTGTAAAAGAGCAACAAACACTGAAGGTTGAATTCTTTTTTCAAAATGCTTTTGAAAGCAAATGTTTATTTTTGATATTTTAGAAACTTTCCGCTATCGATCTGACATTCGAACTTAAGATGCTACCTGTAACTACTAGTCTGGCGATTACCTTTATGGTACAGATTATGTATGTTCTTGCGTTCCGGTTTTCATCAACACCATGCCCAAATCGACACTATTGCTACTCGGCAGAAATAAAATACATGGCATTTAATGCTTTGAACAATACCTATCTAAATAGTTCACAAGATATCATATCAACATATATGGCAAAGAGTCCAGAACAGTGCATGGGGGATTGCACAAAAGAGAAGAAATGTCAGTCTGCAAATTATTATGCCAGAGCTAACAGGTCATCAATGTTTTGCGATTTATTGAGCACCAATAGATGGACTGATGGAGAAAACGTCACTTGCAGAAGCAATTCTACACATTATTTTGTTGAGGTATGTACTTAATCTTCCATGGATTGTATGCCAATGGACCTCTCAGTTATGATCATTGACAATTCTGTGTTAGGAGCTTCGTGGCAATTTTTCCGTAGAGAGGCATGGCTAATTGCCATTCCGATAACAGAGCGTGCTGATTTTGAGCACACCTCGCCAAAATATTCAAAAGTAATGTTGATTTCAACATAGCCCAAACATGATAAAATCTTGTATGGCTAAAGAGAAAAAGTTAAATCCGCTTTTGACCTCTTCTAAATAGTTTTTTTTCAAAACTAGCTCAAATACCCTTTGCGCCACATCTGTTAGAAAGGCACTCATATAATATTGTTACCCAAAATAATGGAAAATAACAATTTGTGCATTCTAGTGCAACTATACCAATGCATCGATAAAGGTGAACGCATTCTTTGGTTTTCTAAGGAGCAATGTTGCTGACTATCAGTTTCTTAGAGGTTTAAAGAAAGTTAATGATGATCTGACAAGCTAATTAAATCAGGATACATTATATTACAATCGGGATACATTATAGCAAATGTTGTGACGCATTGGCAACGTTTATCAAACTTGTCTAATTCATTAAAGGAGTTCAAAGGAGCTCCCTTAAGAAATCATTTATATATTTTTATGCTCAAACTTGCATCCGAAAGGTCAAAGGTAAATTCATGGTTTGTTTAAAGGACGAAGCTAAAAAAGGCTACAAAAGACTAGAGTTTAAAAATGCAAGCTGTAAAAGAGGATGATAAGGAAAGTAAAAGCAGAAAATGAACAGAGAAAAAAATAGAAAAAATCTACTTTTGAAAGAAGTGTCAACTTTTTCAATTGTGATTGATGATCATAACAGGTGTTTTGAAAGATGCAAAGTAAATTCAGGAGAGAGCTCACCAAGGAAAATGAAGGCTTTTCATTGTGTAGTTTAGTCTTAGAGTTCCCTTAGTGGCATGAAATGTATTTAAATACATTGTATTACAGAATACATGTCGCTCTAACCCTTGTAAAAATGGTGGACAATGCATATCGCTGTATCAGGAAGGAGCATATGTGTGCAAATGCAAGAGATATGGGCATACAAAAAGGACTAAAGGGTTTCATTGTGAAAGAATCGAAGGTAATATATCAATACTTTCTGTAGAAGTACGCAATTGAACTGTCTTTATTTCATATCAACTGTTTTGTATCTGTTTTAATGCCAGTTGCATCTTTAAACTGTTAAATACAAGCTTATTGATAGTAACAAAAATGAGTTTTCACCAGCATGCATCGATTTCAAAGCAAAATATGCGGAATTCTGCATTTTTCTTAATGGAATGAAACACAGATATAAATTAGAAAATGACGTTTTATGCTCCGAGGAGTGTCAGACGAAAAAGCTTTCAGTATTTTGTAAAATGTTTGCTTTTTTCAAAGCCATGTTCATGTTCTGTACCGCCAAAAAACTGTTTTAACAACATCGAGCACTGTTTGCTAATACAGTTGATCATATGCATTAAATATGTTACTGGTTTTCATCAAGAATTTTATAAAACGCTCCAAAAATATATAATAGTCACAGAAGTCACAAAAATGCGTTCCGAGACTCCCAGCAGAAGTTGGCATCCAAAAATGCTTTACTTTATTCGTTTGAAAATTGTTATATGAAGTTTGACAGAATGTTTGATTCGTTATAATTCGTGATAAAAAGCAATCCTTTTAACCATTCTTAAAGATATGAAAAGAAGAGACGCAAAGCAAATCTCAAAAGTGTAAGGAATGAAAGTTTAACTTGCTTTCCACTTTATAAACTAACGCTAACATTTTTTAAGCACTTTTCTACAGAGAGGCCTGAATACCCAATGCTTTTACGTTAAAATCCAGATTTTTTCATGTCACTCAGAATGTGTTCCATTACACTATTTTTTGCATCGATTATTCAGTGTTTTATAACTAAAATAATGTGCAATTTAAATTTATAAATTGCAAAACTTTGTTACCCAATGGGAAAGTTTGAACAGGCACTCTCAGATGACAATTGTTATTCACGTTTCCCCATTGGCAAACAGCAATTCATGAGATTTTCGATGACACGTGACTAAATTTTGTCACTTATCTCTCTATCTGCCCGGCAATGTTTTCTAGATGTTTCTTTGTTTTACGAGTATTTGAGCCTTGTGTTTCTCATTTCCATGTTTCGTAAAAAATGTGGAGTTGAGCTTCAAAACTTGCAAGTTCCAGGTAGATCACCATTAAGAAGGTAATACTTTAGAAAGATTGTGTGAGCTTTTTATCATTAGGCTACCACGGTGACATCGTGAAAAAGTAAAAATTTTAATCAGAAAGAAAGTTCTTGAAATTGAAAATTAAACCGAGTTGAGATGTTTCATGTTTCTTAAGTGTTTCATTATTGTTTCTTAAGTGGCGGAGGAGACATCAAACTTATACCTCAGCTTCGATAAAGAAAGTCAGATCCTTGGTGGCGGTAGAACAAAAATCCACGGAAAAGCGATGATTTTGCCTGTGCCAAACAGACTGTCTCCAGTTGCTTACCTGCCTGGTAGAAAGGAGCATTACATTCAGTATTATGACTTTAACAACAAACTCTGTATCAAGTAAGACTGCTTCATAATACCAATGTTAACCTTTGTAATTTAGAAAATGTAGAGATGTTGAAAATTAAGATATACTTCTCCCTAAAACAGTCAATGTTGACAAAGGTTCTTTGCTAATGATCCTCGCTCAATTATTCAAATGGTATCTTTATATTTTGGCAAATACAGCATAGGAGCAGGGCGGAGCCACGGGAGGTAATGGAGGGGTACTAGTCCCCCCCACTATTTCAGAAAGTTGGTCCTTGAGATTCTTGCAAATCTGGTGAGAAAACTTCTGGGGGGGGGGGATGTACGTTATCTAGATCGTCACATTTAAATGACATTTCTTGGGAGACAAGAGGTGTTTCCTCAGGAAGAAAATGTTTCTTCCAACAGGGAAAAAGGGCGTGGTCCAAAAAGGCGTGGTCCCTGACATTTCTTTTGTCCCCTGCACTTATCTCAGGCTGGGGCCGCCACTGCAATATGAGGGACTGCTAAAGTCTAAAAATATACTATAACAAAGATATGTTTTAGCCTCCAATTCTGCCAAGTATGCTTGGCTGTATCTGTAGCAGACAGTCTTTGCATAACTGATGTAATGCAGACCTTTGTAATGCTGAGCTGCTATTGAGGATTTCCTGTCTCATTTCAGGCACATACCGAACTGCAGAACATCTCCAAATGACGGATTATCAGTATCTTTGTGGTTCAAGATCTTCAGAAGGGCTCAGATTGAATTCAACCAGAACCCGAGATGCGAATCAACATACCTTGTATTTGCCCAGACATCTAAAGATGTGAACCAGGACTACGGATTTCGTATTTTTATACGAGGTTGCGCAGAGAACGCATTCGGTGTTCAAATAAGAGATAGTAATAAGTTGGCGAAAGTGGTCTGGGGAAATGCGTCTGAGAAATCTCTCAGTGAAAAATGGTCACATCTGCTTTTCACATACAAGTATTCTCTAGGCTTGACTGTGTATTTCAACGGAGCTCAAGTGAGGAATAAGGAAGTAGGAGATTATCAGACATTTATTTAATTCATTTATTCATTACTTTGCAATTTTGCCAATACAGTTTTTTATAAATTCTTCCGTTGGACATAATCTCAAGATTGACGTTAGCCATCCTACTTTAAACTCATTTTTCATTGGAAGTTCAGCATTCTAATCTCTAGAACCTTGATTCTCAATTGTTTCTTAAAGATATAAATAGTTTCTGCCTATTTCTCTCCCCTCAAAAGAATCTCTAAAAAACTATCTTTCCCGATTACATCTATGGACAGTTGCTAATTTACCCATTAAATCTATGTACAAATTATTTCCCGGCTGCAATAATTTTCGAGAAAAGATATCATAACTAAGCATATTGTTTAAGCATTTCCTGAGTAGATTAACTGCCTACTTTAGTAAACAAACAAAATTCTTAAGATTTTATTATCTTTCTGATAGTTTCAGTTTTTACAAACAAACCGATTTTCTTTCCGTTAATTCCCACCTTTGGCAATGAAGCACCCAATATATGGAAATTTTGTGATAATCAATTTAAAAAATCAGGAAAAAGCTGGAACATATCATCGAATTTTCGAATTTTTGCGGTACTTAAAGCATATTTGGATGACTAGATTTTCTTGCTTATGGTTATTAGTTATCTTAAAATATTCTGTTTTAATCTATTTTAGTCATCATTTCCCAAACCCTCATTACGTGGGAGTCCCCTGCTGAAATCTCTGCAGATTGGCAACATTGCTTCAGGCGACCTTGAATCGTACATTGACGACTTTGCGGCCTGGTATCATTACCTATCCCCCGTCGATGTGGAGAACGTGTTTCATGAAGGTATATTTGCTTATTTGGTCTACTGTCTACTGTTTTATTATGGCTATGGCCGCTTTTCTAGGTTTTAAGGCAACTGACAGATCTAAGATGGCTTAAGACATCTGTCAATCAATTTTATCCAATCAATGAGCTCGTGAGTGGAATTACGCCCACTGATTGGTCAACTTTGTTTGATAGATGGCTTAAAGGCAATCTGTCACGACATTGATTGATTATAAGAACAAATGGATTTTTTATTGTATCGAGCCTCCCTTTAATTTGATCGCATTGTAAAAAATATGGCGGAGCGCTGGAAAGCTATTGTTCCAGCTATTGTTCTCTTTAACCAATCCACAACGAGACAGATTTCCTTTAGGATCCTTTTATTATATGTCAATTGCATTTAATGTGATTGGCAGCATACCTCTTGGCGGGGTATGGAAAGCCCGATGACACCCATGAAATGAATCTGATATCTCTCTTCAGAAGAATATAAATTAGAATTTATATCCCTTCTAATAAATACAATTCGGTTACTTCTTTTCATGATGATTGCTTATAGCTGCAAAGATGACTTAAATTGACAGAAAATGCTTTAAGAGTGTACCAGGATGATTAAAATACCAATGCCAAGATTTTGTGGTTAAATTGGCGGAATATTCTTTGACTTGCTGTAAAAAACGCTATTTCCACCAATTTGATCTTTTTAAGGAATTCTGTGACCTACGGGTATTCCTCAAAAAAAGATTGTTCAAAAGAAGATGATCAGATGCATATTTCTCGTTGTTTTTGGTAAAAGAATTTTCAGCATGCATTCATATATAATAAATAATTATAATTTTACGAACCTTTATACAGGATATAACACTTAGAAATGTTAATGCTGTTATCAATTTGTGTCCTAATCCTACCTAAGATGAAGAAAAATCTCAAAAAAAAACAAAGTTGACATCGATAATGAACTATATACAAGGATGATAAAAATGTATTAAATAAGTATTTAAAAGTGTTTAGCTACAATGTCACAAATTTTCAGAACAGTATTTCTTTGTTATCTTGTTATTTTAATTCTTTTGCTGCATTGGTTGTAACAGGGAGTCTTTTTTGTCAGGAAAAAAATTTGAAAAATCTATAAAGCGACAAAAACTTAGGGTTACAAATATTTTTACACTTGTGCTTAACCAATAATTTTATTTTTGTTAATTTTCTGAATATTAACTTTATTTCTGAAAATATCTAGGTATACAAAGAAACAGGTTCATCTGATCTTAGCTCATGTACCCTGCTTTACATTGGAAGTGTGCATTATCCACAATGGAAGAGGCAAGAAAACGCACTCTCTTATCTAAATTCATAGAGTTTGTTGTAATAGCACTTTATTTGCACCTCATTCTAGAGACACAAGCATGCTCAACTGTAGCTTTTTTCTAAAATCGTTTAAAATTTTCTAGAAGGTATCGTAATTATAATAATATTGTAGAAACAGTTTGTGACCTAAAGAATTTTTACTTTGTACCTTGTCATAAATTATACACGAATAAGAAATTGTTTTTTCTTTACGAAACAGTGTTTAAAAAAGAAAGCCTTTAATTGCAAAGTGATATTTTAAGTTCATTTTGAATCTTGAAGCTAAAGAAACTTATCTAGGGCCTAGGTTTTATTTGGAACACAGTTTTGTAAAGAATCATTTCTAACGATCCAAGCTGTGGTATTCTAGAAGAGAATTTTTAAGGTCTCAAACAGAAATTCATAATAAGCCTCTGGTACCGCAAAATTTATAGTATGACGTGTTTCCGCTGTCTGTGCTATTTTTAAACAGAATTGATGTGATTGACATCCTTAAGAATAAATGTGCATAATTTATCAGAGGGTAAAAACAAATAGCCTTTATCGAGGGTTGTCTTTTCTGCTGTTCAAAGCCTTCTCTGGTTTGGGATCGAAATAACTGACCAAAAATTAAGGTGTCATTCGTAAACGCAAACTGTTCATGCACTACCATTATAATTTTTGGCAAAGGCTCCAACACAAGTGATCCCTAAGACCAGAGTCCAGAAAAGTTGTTAACCTTCCTCCAGACAAAAAACATCTTCACACCTTCCTCCTTGGCAAACCTTCCTAGCAAAACAATAGAAAGTGGGCATGGCTTGGGTGTGTCGTATGAGCTTCTATTGTTTTTCGTGGACCTTCCTCCGGTCAGTGGCCGTGCGACCGTAATGTTTTCTTGACTCTGCCTATGACATTTTCTGGGCTGTTTGGATGTATTATCTGTTACGGCTATGTGCCTTGGCTAATATGCCCTTTCAATTTTCATTCTTTTTAAGATATTTCTCGTCATCTTCTATTTCTTCCATTTTCCAAACAATTGCTATTGTCTCTTGGTAATAATTAATGAAATGTCTCTGTCCGAATCTAAACTAATGTTATTTTTCACCAATGAGCAGTTCTAGTCATCGCATGTTTGAAAATAACTATTTGGTCTCTCCATAATTTTGAACTTAAGTCTGATCATTGTTGAGTAGAGTGTTTAAATGCTCCCAACAAACGATGAAAATCACTCAGTTTCAACCAACGATGAACGCTGTGTCGCACCACTAACCATATTTTAAGTTGTTTAAACTTTGCTGACCATAGCTTCACATCCCTCACCACACTGAAAAGCACTGGAGAGGGCCTAACAGCGCAAATTGAAACACTGAATTAGCTTCAAAGAAATAGTGACAATGACAGAACGAGCAATTTTAAGGTTATACTAAATTTGCCGATAATAGAGACAAGTTAAATTTTCTTATTAGAAACTTTATCAATAACAAACAAACAACTTTATCAACATTTTACTTGCAAAATAAGAAAATTTCAAGATTTATACCAAGTTCTTAAATAAATTATATATATTCAATTGAATTAAGAAGATTTGTGCGTTTTTGGAATACAGAACTTAACACTATAAGTAATTTGCAAAAAAGACCCTTACGTATAGATGGTCTAGATGGAAAAGACATTTCGAAACGTTAAAAAACTCACTGCCATACCGTAGGGTAGTGTAGGGGGAGCAAGAGGGGGAGGATCTCCCCAATGGCAAATAATTTCTTCGAAAAGGGCATTTTCTGACGTTCCAAAGGGCGTTGACTCCCATTTTTCAGCTGCTCAATTTACCATTGCCCTCTACTCTTACCACCTTGGCTAGGCATAGTCAATAGGCTAGGCTACTGCTCGCATACAAAATGCTGTCTTTGACTCTCTCAGCTACTATGAAGCTCTTCACCATTCGGCAAAAGAAGACTAATTACTTTGTGTACAAAGGCTCTTCACTTAGTTTTAGGAAAGTAAAAGAAGTAGTTAAAAATTGTTTTTAATCGTATGTTAATTCTTTAATTGTATTATGGTAATATGAAATCACAAGGGGGAAAACAGAATTTTGACGTTTCCCTTTTTGAGTATTCTACACATACAAAATTAAGCATACAATTTTGTGTAAAATTATGTTTAAATTTTACGCATGTAAATCTTTGAAAGTTAGTTAGAACAAAAGGTCCTCTTCAACTTTGTCCTCCATTCTTTGTACTCTTTCATAAAATCTCTAAAACCTTATCTTTGAACTTCCAAAGAAGATTCATTTCGGGGTCTCAGCAGTATGTCGGCAAAAACAAGCCCATGAAATCAATACGTCCTAACTTCTCCATTCAATATCAAGAACTTTGCCTTTCATAAGCTCCTGTCCAGGCGCGGATCTAGGCCGGTTGCACAGGTTTCAAAAAACCGGTCAAATTCTAAGAGCTATGTTTCTCTGTAAATCTTGAATTTTTGATCTAAATTTCAATTGCAACAATTGCTGCATTTCTCCCTGACTGACTACAGTTCTTCTGTTTATATACTGAATTAAGCCTTCACAAGAGTTTGACAGAGTTCCCAGCTTCTTCATCTTTTTTCTCAAAGTATCCGAGGATTTCAAAATCGAGGAAATCAGCAACCATTCGATGTGACAGCTTGGAGTATGCTATCTATGCGCCAATACCGGTGGCTGTTGTTTTCTGAAAACCTGTGAAATTTTTTTTGAAAGATTGAACTTTTTGAAGAACTAACCGCATTATTTCCTTATCAACATCTCGATCAATTCTAGTGGCCCCAAATATGAAGACACATTAGCAACCAAAAAGCAAGAGCGTCGTCATTTATTTGTCGCATCCACGATTCAACAATCGAAACGAAGTTTTTGTGAAACTCTGGACATCTATTAGGCATCAAACTTCATTTCGTGCACTGAAAAAATTTTATCAATTTCCACTTAAGATAGTCCGAAGTTTTTTGTGTTCAAAACTCTCTAGCACAATATCCCCGTAGAGTATCTCTTTTATCTCTTGCTTTTAAAAGTCGTCAGATAAATGAATTGGCATGTTCCAACATTTCCACCGCAGCAGCCATCAGTTCCGTTACATCTGGATCGTAAAATATAGTTGAAGCATTGGAAATTGGCGTGACAGGATTTTTAGACAACGAATTTCGCGTTCGTGGCACGTCATTGGGTGTTGCAGCTGTTGAAGTTCCTGCTCCTGATCTTTTGCTAGTTGAAGGCTCTTGCAATGATGCCGTAAACTTCTCGTTCGTGATTTCGTAACCTCCTTTCCACAAGATAATCATCTTCATCAACTGTTAAGTCCACAATTATTATTCCATTGATGTAGACTTATCAAACATCCTTCAACCATCATACAGAACATCCTTCAACCATCATATAGAGCATCATTCAAGCATCATACAGAACATCCTTCAAGGCATCATTTAACACTGTAAAAGACGTCAATTTTCTACGGAACAACTTTCTCATCAGCATAACTAGCTTGTTGCAAGTCCAACGATGGTGAAGACATCTTCAAATGACTAGAAAAATTGAAAGTAATGCAAATGTATACATTTCTACAATCTTGGTTGACAGCGGATCATTGCTTAACATTGCATTTAATTTTGTGTTAAAAAAGATCATATCATTGTTAAAATATACGTTTAGTTCATTGGCCAAAAAAGCTTATACTCGTTCATAACGATAAGCATATACAGCGGACAGAGCGTATAAACATTACGTCATCGTAAGCTAGCCCAGATATGCCCAAAACGCCAAAACACTCGCAAGCATGTCCCTAGATACAATTTCGTAACAATTTGTAAAAAAGGAATTTCCCGCACAATTTTTTAGAAGTAGCCTCATTTCCATGACGGCGTTTGACTGGCACCTGCCTACTGTTCTTTAGCCTCCTTTTTAAACCCAGCTTAAATCTGGCTAGCCTCGACCTTATACCACTAGTAGAGAGGGGTCAGGATGGCTGTACCGATTTCCGGGGAGAAGGGAGATCCCAAATAAGATCTAGCAAATTGTCGTGAACGCCAGACTCTGGAACCTCTAAGTAATTCAGAATATTGAATATACTGATTAGTTTTACATTATTTATCCCACAGTACCCATTTACTCACAATATAACATTGCAATGGTTGTTTATTCTATTCTTTAACCCAAAAAGAATCAGGAAGAATAACCGCATTCAAAGATCAGGTATGCGTACGGGTGCTTTTAATCCCTACTTCTTTGCAGGTGATTTTGTAGATGGTCAGTGGCTTAAGACAATGAAATGTCAAAGGTATTCTGCCGGTTTTTCTTTCTATTTTTAGACATGTTAACTGGTTCTTGATGCTTCGATTCTTCTTACACAGCAGACTAATTCATAGTTGTACACTTTAGTAAAATATCTGGTACATACTAAAAACCTGTTAAAATTTAAACTTTTTTGTTAAGACTTGTAAAGATTTATGAAGAACCTGAAAAAAAAGTTGAAAAGTATAAGCCTACTAAGGCTCGAATCATTCAAGCGCTTTTACCTAAAAAATGTCTATTTATCAAAATCTTTATAATTGGCTGTCATTCCTACTTGCCCTTCCAATTAAGCCGTCTTATCTGTATACATAATAATGATGTGAGCAAATGAGATAAATAGACCAACAGACACTATATCTTGATATATAATCATTATATATATATATTGAGATAAATATCTTTTAACATACAAACTAGTGGGGAATTTTTCCCCCGGGCCCTTAAATTTCCCCACTAGTTGGCCCATGATTTCCACTAGCAAGTGCCCTTTTACTGTAAATTGTTTTAAAAGTCATTACTTTTTATGTCATTGTCACTTTATGTATCAAATGATGTATTACTTCTTTCATTTCATCGTAAATATAAACCTCTGTTTGATTTTCTCGCACTACATCAAAGCGAGGTAATGAAATTCGCGGAATATTCATTGCCCTACAAACATGCCTGAAATTGCGTCATTGTCCTACAAACATGCCAAGATCTGAACGCTCGGTATTTTGTCTGGTTCATATGTAACTTTTCGCTGCATAGGAGTAAGGACTGACGTGCAAGACCTTGAAGCCTTTCATACTATGCACACTCGTCCCTTTGCTTTTGTTTCTGCCGTCAGTTGCGTCATGTTAAGAAAAATGCCATTTTGTGTCAATTCCCCCCAGTGGAAATTTCTTAAAAGATCCCCTGTCATCAGATATCTTCCTTTGACGAGTGTTTCTACAATCAATGTGCTAACAAGCAGGTAAATCGTAATGTTGTTAAAACTTATGCAAGAAACAGGTAATTAGTTTTGCATGTAACAATTTTTCCGTACCAAAAATATGCTATCTGCAAAGATAAATTCTGTACCTGATTTAAAGATAGATTGATTGAATGATTGAAGTGATCGACTGTTTGATTGATTGCCTGCAATGATTGATTGGGTGATTGACTTATCGGTGATTGATGATTGATTGATTTCTAATAAAATAATAATCTTACAATTCATTTTAGTCGAGACCATTTTTTGGCTTTGTGGCAAAACCACATTGCACTCCTAGCAGTTTCCCTATCTTAACATAAACCTTAAATACACTACAAATCTTTTAGGTGCAAGATCCACGTTTAGTAACAACATCTCTGTGACATATTATTGTATACCTTGTATAAAGTGCTTGCAGTTTAGTTTACGAAGTCGGGATGTACTTAACAGAGTCGATTGTGTAAATGAGACAAAGATAGCACCATGGAACCTAACGGTATATGAAAACGTTAAAATCATCGTTATTGACGCTATGAATTCATTTTCACAAACCGAGACCATTCAAAACTACCTTATCTACAATTTCTACCAAGTTAATAACCCCCTCTCTCCCTGGGAATAATGTTGGTTAGCTATCAAAAAGTAGGAAATTTCCGGGAGAGATTTTTCTTGTTACTTGTAATATATTTATCTGGACTATCAGGAGCACGTAGTAATATTTGGTTAAAGAATCAAAGTATAGAAAAATGCAGTGCCAATTGCTTTGTGCTCTTCCTCGTTGTGAAAACCACTTTGAGCTGTTTACGATTGCTTTGTTTCAAAACACTATATACATTTTAGCATCATTATTAGAATGTCACTTTACTCTAATCAGAAGTATAAAATACAGTTTCTTATATTCTTTTCCAATCCTAATCCTTTGTTTACATAAGAGAAATTCCACGATCTCAGCAGCACCTTTTTTCTATGTAAAAATGGCAGCAGTGATATTTTCTGATAGACCTTTCAAGTGTTATTTTTTGACACAGATAGAAATACATACAACAAAAACCAAATCGTTAAGATTTGAAGATTTTAACGATTATTTAGTTTACTCCTTAGCTTTTGACACTCGATTCCTCAGTCCCTTGCAAACTCGAGGGAACTCCTAAGTCATTCGCAAATTCATTTTGTGTTTACTTAAGTCATATTTGCATTAGTTGCTTAAATCGTCTAGGTGTTCATGATCAGCGTCATTTTGATAAACTGTTTCTTGAAATAAAGGTGCAAAAAGCCGAGAAATATACATTTTAACAAAATGTTCTTAGGGAAACCGTTGTCAATGCCATTGAAAAAAGAAAGGTAGGCGAAAAGAGTGGCACAAGGAGGTAGACTCTGCATTCACATCTTTAAGCTCATGTAAGTAATTAAACAAACAAAATTTTGAAATAGATTAGCATACAGTTGCGTCTTTAGTTAATGATTTTGTAGCGTTATTCTCGTTGATAGCAGTCTAGTTGCATCTCTCCATGGATCGTTTCAATCCACGTATGTTTGTTTGGATGCTTCTGACTTTAGCACCGAACCTCAAGTGGTTTGATTCGTCACCCTGTACCAAGTCAACAAGATCCTGCAATGAAAAAGGATAAGGGTACTGCAAAGATAAAATAATAATGATATTATCAGTAATAATTACTTAACGACAATATCCTTTCAGTAAAAAGTTCAACTTGAAAATAATCTTAAACAAAGGATATAAATACAAAAATAATCTTAAACTAAGTAATTGAATAAACCTGACCATTCATTGAGTCGTTTTTTGAGGGGGGCTAGAGTATGCCTCTTAAGATTTGTTTTCAAAAGGCGTAGCGATGACAGTTCTCTGATATTAACTTGAAAGTCATTCCAGGTCTAATGCCCGAGTAATGAAATCCTTTTTGGGTGGATTTAAGGTTTAGCTTTGGAATATGGAGATCTCTATAATTACTCGTATTAAAATTTGATACAAAATATATTTAGCAGAGAACAGCATTCGCATCTACCACCACTGGTTAGAAAGGGATAGAGAGAGGGATTGAAAATAATTACTCGGAGGTCAGAGAAACAGCCTCTTGTTCTTTTTATTAAAGATTCTCCAAAACCACTTCCTTTGCCTAAAGAATGAAGACTTTCGACTAAACTTTTTTAACTTAAATGTCCTTGCAATCACTTCAAAAATACTTTTGTTTTAGAAAAGGTCGATTCCCTATTGATAAAACGCTATTGTTTATTACATTCCTAGCAGCTAGTCCTTTACTGTATAAAGAACGATCTTAAATGAAAGTTAGCCAACAAATGTTAACCGCTCCGCTAAGGGGCTACAAAAAGCAATTTTCAAAGAATTGAAAGATAAATTAGTCTTAAAAGTAAGAATGTCAAAAGCCAGCACAAACTCCCGAATTTTCAAACTTTATTTCCCAATAAATGAGTTATTTGAGCTAAAACCTTCAGATGATGGACCAAAAAATCGAGACAGTATTTGAATGTAAATTTGAAGGTACTTCATAGTTGACCTTGCAAATAAAAAAAATATAAAAAAGCAGAAAAATATTTTCAAGTTATAAATCAAACAAGCATTTCACCTTTTTGATCCTGTGAAGCTCCTTGGCAGCAGCGATGCTGCTCTCAGATGGAATGTTTGACCTCTTGTATGCTGCTTGCCCAACCTCGTGTAATTCATTCATATAACCATCAAAGTTCTGGTTCTTTTCCTTCTTCAATATGTGCTCAATTTGACTTCTAAATCTTGGCATCATGAGGTTGTGCTCGTCTGTTAAAAGGTTTCTTGCCTTCGAATCCCATTTCTCCATGCCTTTGGAAGCGAAGATTAAGCATAGTAAACAATATATTTCAAGAATAAATAAGTTATTGTAAATTTCCAGAAACTCAATATAGCGTCGTAGTTTATCATAAACCCAAAGGAGATTAGCGTATATTGTCAACTGGCTAGAAGTATTTGCAAGACATTTCTTACCATCTTTGGCTTTGTCATACCAATGGTAGAGATCCCCTCGCTCTTCGTGTGTCATGTTATGTTTCATTTCTGAAAATAAAATACCCAATCGTTTTATATAAGTCATTACCATTCAGTATAGCATTTTGAGCTTGCAGCAATTTGCTGTTAACAGCAACCATCAAACGTGATGGAATCAGAACAAATTTAATTTTAGATTTTTCAAATTTGGGCTACATAACCTGAAAGAGAATCAGTTTAATGCGTTTCAAATTGGCTTAGATATGACTACAGGAGCACAAGCTCTTTTCTTGACAATTAATTTGCTGCTAAAATCTGTGAACCAGAACAAAACAACATCATTCAATAAGCCCAGTCTGCATTCCTTGTAGTGCAGTCGCATCTTTCATTTACCATTTCTCGCACTATTTGCAACAAATTAAACTGATTTTGCAGTTTAAAGTTGTTTCCTGGTTTTCTACCAGACTCCATAAATTCTAAAAACATGCTTCTGATGGCGTAACATTTCAGTACCATTTTTAAATTTTTTCACTAAAAGATGACCATGGCTGTATGAATGCTTACCCGTGGACCTGATCTCATATCCAAGGCCATCGACACCCTGTTGCATAGTCCTCTTCGTTGTTTGGTAACCCTCACGAACATTGACCATCGAATCATGCAGTGATCTTAGTCCATCGGCAATCATGCTGTACTTGCCAATCACTTTGCTGATCTGCACGCATGGTGTAGCGTGGTGTTTGTGCCAGTCTTGATATGAAAGAGAAGAAAGTTGTTGGTAAATGTTTCTAGTGCATTCATAGACCGAGGTTTAAAGGTTTTTGCTTTATCTTATATTGTAAGCAAGAGTACTAATATTAAAACCCCAACGACAAAATCTTCTAGTTTGATCTATTTCTGCCTGAAGTAAAAAAGTACAAATTTTGCATTGCTAACTTGAATATGTAAAATATTTTCTGTTGGTGCAGCTTATTAGAGTGACAAACAAAGGAAACATGTTAAAGACAGAAAACCTGTCAATTTACACTGAAGAGTTAAAGCGGCCGCATTTTCTTTAAAATTTAATATTGACAAGTAATAAAATGAATTACCTTCATCAAGTGTTCGTTTCTCTGCTGGAATATTTGAGTCCTCCTGAGGTGTGTGATCAAAGTTTCTATTGTCAAAATCTTGCACCAATATCCAAGGTGCGCCATTCTTAAAGGCGTTCACTGTGGATGTACTTCTTGTGACGACTGCTGGCAAGGGCTCCTCTGCAAGTCGTCTGTAATACATTTCCTCGGCAGTAGGGACATAGTCTCTCTTTCGTCGATCCTTTGTCTCTTTTTCCACATCTTTCTGAATGTCTCCTTCTTTCTTATCAAGATCTTTTTTATCATTTTCATACTCTCGTCCTTTCCCATCAATGTTCGGCACTTCTAGGATCATCTTCTTTGTCCCCGCGTATTTTTCCTCTACCGTCTCAGCAGCAAGATTCTCCCAAAACTTTAAATTGACGCACAAATCACCTTTGTAATCAGCTTTCAATCCAAAAATAACAAATTTGCATGTTATACCAATGCATGCATTAAAGTCACTGGTGAGCTTGCCTCTAAGTTCAAGCATATCTACTTTAAACAAATTGTCCCCAATCCAATTCATGACCTTTTTCGAAATTTCTATTCCAACTTCTACTACATCTTGCACAAACTTCAGCACATCGCCGGCAAAACCAACCAATTTTTCAGCCATTTTCACAAAGCCTTTTCCAACATCAATGAGTCCTTTTCCTACTTCTGAGAGTCCAATCAAAATCTGAAAAGAATGGTGTTCTAATCAGTAAGAGTTGTCAGACTAAAAAGCTTACCGATAACAAGTACAAAAAGAATAACACAAGTGCATTGATTATTGCTTTAACAAGAATCGAGAAGGCTGCTATGGTTAGGCACAATAAATGTTAGATCACAAGAGCAGTTAGCTGACAAATAACAATGACGGCAACAAAATAAGACATTGTAATGGTAGTTTTTTACTTTTATTGACTAGAATCCAGTGACAATCCAATTTTTGACAGAAAATTCGTGAAATCAGAACATCGACAATCCAGTATTTGACAAAGGGTCCATGAAATTACATTGACAATCCAGTATTTGACAAAGAGTCCATGAAATTACATTGACAATCCAGTATTTGACAAAGGGTCAATGAAATTACATTGACAATCCAGTATTCCACAAAGAAAATCCATAAAATTACATTGAAATTACATTTAAAGAGGTTAGTTGTAACATTCCGGTTAAATAGTGACAAATCCAGTTGCATAAATGAATAAACGTTTCGACTCTAGCTAGAGTTTTTAGTTAACTGACAAAGAATAATGTTTTCTATCATAGTTATATCGCTTAGAAGATATTTTGCATGAAGTATCAACTCAAAAAAGTTCATCTTTCGGTAGACAGTACTCAAACAATTGCTTTTGGTAGCTTAGAGAGAAAATGCTTTTATCTACATCCAATTTGAAAATATTGGGAGGTAGAATCATAAAAAACACATTTGTGAATATAACGTTTATTCAAAGGTCAACTTTCTCTCTATAGTTGTAAAGAGCATTAAACTGTGGTTCTATGTAATTTTCAGCCTTGTAAAATAGATATTTAGCTGAGAACCTTTTAAAAAAAACATTTTTGCAAAATTCAATTTAGAGAGAAAGACGTTAAAAAGACTAAAAAATGTCCACAATGTGTTTTCATTGTTTAAAACCCTCCATGGTCCTCCAAGTCATTCCTTCTTTCTTATGCTGTTATCTTCCACTACTTCTCTTTTGATTTTTCTACTATTTCTTACATTTTTTTGGATATCATAGGCATTTCTGTTGCCTTCTCTTATTATTTCATAGCTCTTTGAAAAAGCGATGTAGTGTTTTTTCAAGGAGTAATCCCTAGAGCCTGAAAACATCACAAAGAGACTGCTTCTCTTAATTAAAAACAATAACTGCTCCAGCAGGTATGGCATTTAAGTGCTACTTCCAGAGGCTAGTGACTTTAGAAAACTTGCCCAAATCAGATGAATGAGAGACTCACAGCTATTTGCGTTAGCCCAACATCCCAAAACATTTTCTTTTTCAAAATGAATGATAATGGTAGAAAAAAACACATGTACCTTGATACCAGTCTGTTCTGCCCATGCAACGAACTTTTTGGCCATCTTTTTTATCTCGCAAGCAGCAATGCAAATAATATTAGGAGCTTTCCATTTGCAATTGTTCCAAGTAGGGCAGCCAACCCACCACCACCAAATCTTGAAGCATCTTGACTTCCAATCCAGGAATGGTATGCAAACTTAAACGAGAAGAAATGCACATCTTCTAGACTCAGTTAAAAAGACATTGGCAATCAGCGACGGTGGCAACAAGCCTTATTTGAACCGTCCGTAACTCACAAATAAGGAAGCTAAGTTTTATTGGAGTTCATTTAAGGAAGGGGATACTAGCAAACAGAAAAACAGGACGATAACAAGTTGCAAGCTCGGAACAGAAAGACAAATAGAGGGAAATTTTGAGAACGAAACCAACAAATTCAGATACTCTGGCAGCGCCTATCCAAATCTATTGCCAGATTCACGAATTCTGTCCCACGACTCTATTGCCAACAAGCTTGTAGGCTCACAGGCCATTCCCAAACATAGGCAACTAAAAGAAAAACAACACAAGAATTATCTTAAAATAATGGTTAAACACAATTATAGCTTACTTTCACCGCATTCTTTTTGGCAACTCGCTTTGAATGCCTTCTTTGCTTCTTCAATTTCAGCAGCTCTTTTCTTTAGTTTGTTTTGATAATCATCAATAGATTTCTTCCAGCCATTCATTTTTTCCCCAGCGTCTTTGACTTTCTTTTCAGCCTCTTTAACTCTTTCTTGGGCCTCCTTTAGTTTCTTTACTGCAATGTCTTTAGCAATGTTTAGATATTTGATTGCAGCATCAGCAATTTGTCTCAAATGAAAGTCTATTTGAACATTTGCCACAAACTATAAAGCAGGTAGAGAAATTATTTAAAAAGTTGCTTTTTTAGAATATAAACAGGGGGAAGCCACCACTTGAATACGCAACTTCATATTAGTTTCAATAACTTGTTAAAATCTAATAAAAAGGTTGTGAACAATGTTCTTGGGATGCCTAGTATTGGTGCCTAAAATAAAGCAATTCTGAGACATTGGGTTACAAGTGTTGCCCTCATTGGCATGAAATGACTCTTACAGAATCAAAAGAACATCTTATGCCGCAGAATAAAACTGACACGCACAAAAATCAATAATTCAAGTTTACCAATTTTATGAAACCAAACGGAAAAAAGTAGCTGATTTTCTTTTCCTTGGAAGCCGACTATTCCAAACTATTTTTCTATGCCGCTAATAAAATACCTACTGCAATATGAAATCGTTCTCAATGCGACTCAAATTAGGGAATTGTTAAATACTGCCACAACATTTATGCATTAGTAAGAATTAAACAAGGTGATCTGAATGATAAAAAAGACGCTTTTTCTCGCTGCCCCCGGACCTCTCCTACCCCATACAGGCAAAGCAATGCAGTTCTTAGGGATTTGAAATTACAGCAAAGTAATTGCTAACTTCTTATCAAGCCTATTTTAAAAATCATTTTCCTTTAAATGAGCACATTGCAGGAGCTGCCAATTCGTGCAAACACTATCAAAATAAACTGTTTGTGGCGCAGGTGATGAAGACAACGACCAATTTTTCCTGCACTGCCAGTTGTTCCAAGCAATGCGGAACGAGCTCTTTGGTCGGATTTCTGAAGTCCCTGGACTCAAAATTTCAAACCTCTCCGCAACGGAAATTTGTGAATTAATACTTTATGGAAGTTCCGAATTAAATGTACTTGCCAATAGATTCCTTATGGAGGCCACACTTCAATTTATCAAAAACACTTAAAGATTCTTTTAATTGAAAAACAAAATAGCAGCAACTCCTTTTTTTATTTTTTTTTTCTTGATCTACCTCTGAAACATGCAAATTATGTAAAAAAATTGTGTGTAAATTGTAAATTAGAGTTTGAAGGTAAAATCAGTTTGTCCATAAAATCCTCAAACGGTCGGTAAAGTCGCCTATCATTACGTTAAATTGCATCTAAAGTTTTGTTCATTTATTATCTCTGTCGGTAAAGTTTGACCGATAGAAGGCCATACATCCCCCTAGTCTGAAAGTGTAGATGTCGGCAAGGGTGGGCAAACTCGAGCCAGAGCCATACCTGAGGGGGGTAGGATTTAAAACAAGAAAACAGATATATAACAAACAGATATATTTGGAAAAAATCAAGCTCACGGAATTATAATTATGTAATCTTTTCAAAATATCATTTGGAAAAACTGTAGCAAGAGGGGGCAAGTTTTTGTCAAAGTTTTCATTTAGGGGTGCACAGCCCCCTGTGCCCCCTGCAGCTACGTGGCTGATGCCACTGTTAAAGTCCTGCGAATCCCTAACGGTACGCCGTGACAGTCCTTGTAGGCTTTGTAAACGAATTTAAAAAGGTGCTCAGGTAACTAAATACCAACAGCATTGCGCTTTGCCTGTATCAACAGTTTTATTTAAAACAAAATCCTTAGGGTGGGATCCTTGAAATTTACCGGGGACAACACCTTTAAAAACTTGGTGTCTTGAAAACAAGTGCGTATGCTCATTTTGCAGTAAATGAACTGTCTTATGCAATCCTTGAAATTGCTTCATGTTAGTCTTAATTAATGTATATTCACTATTGTAGAAACAAACATTAAATAATCTACAATACAATACCCTTAATCCCGGAAGAAGGAATATCATGGGATGAAAAACGCTTCTCTTTTCGAGTAAACAATATATAAACTTCAAGGGATACTCACTGAAAAATGAAGCGCTTGCAAATTGCCGTAACCAGCCTCTACAATCAAATCTGAGCGAATCATTCCCCATATATCAGTTGTCATCTGAAATTTGAAGCCTGTGTCTGAAACGTCTATATAAACGTATCTTGAAATCCCCAGTAAGGATATGAATCCCTCTATCTGGACAGTCACTGAATCTGGCTTGAGGTAAATAAACGCCTTCGGGCCATTGACTTTATCTGTTGCATTCCTTCTTAGGGCTATAAGCCCTCCTGCCCAGTCAATCGGCGAAAGTGAAACATCGATAAGAATTTTCTCTGGAGGGCTTATGAGAATTTCTGAAGCAACCTTGAAGCCAAGGAAATTGATTGTTCCTTTGAAGTATAAGCCCTTCTGTATATTTAAATCAAGTGCATCGATTGTTTTTCCTATAAAAGAAGACAAGTCTTCTAAGAACATTTGGTTACGTTTAGACATATATACAAGATGTCTCTAAAAAATCATAAATTTCATGAAAGTGCGAAATCATTTTGAAAATAATATTCTAGAGTATTATACTTTCGTCTAAATCTAAAAAATAACAGGAGGTTTTAAATCAGAAGCACAGTCCGACGCCGTTCAGGCTGACTTCAAGTGACAAAAATTGAACTATCCAAATGGTTAGGCGAATGCAGTGAAGAAAATCTTCAAGGTAACTTTTTCGGGGTTTTCTTTTGTGATGTCGATCAAAACTCCAATTTTGAAGTGGACTTTGCAAGACACAGCAAATCTAGGGCAGTGGCATCACCGAACACTCAAAATTTACCTCATAAACCACTAAACCCCTCTAATTTTCCCACTATCTATTACTGGCCAAAATAAGCGATCAAATCTGCATAAACGTGAAAATGGCTTTGAAAAAGCAAACATTTGAGTAAACTGAAGCTTTTCGTCTGACTCTTCTTCTGACATGATTTTTGTCATGATTTTTCAAAGCACTGTTGAATAAATGTCATAGGTACATATGAATTTTGACTGATTAAAAACTTTGCCAAGAGCTTTAAAAATGTCAATTATAATTTCTGTCTTGCTAAAATGTCAAGCTAAAATTCAATACAATTGCGCATACTTTTTGTAACGACTTGCTGTGTTAATATTTTCCAATGAATCACAGAATCCGCAGCTTTACCGAGGATACTTTGGTACAAACACTATACGCAATGACAATAAGATTAATAAAGCAAAAACTAAAGATTTTTAAATGAACCAACCCTTCATGCTGTACGAAACAGTTAATCCTTCTGGAAACCCGCTGTCTGCTACCACTTTAGGAACCGCAGGCTTACCCAACTTGAATGCTTTGAAAATCTGGCCAAGGGTGAATTTGTTAACGGATCCAAAGACGTAATTCTCATCTGGCTTATTAAAGTCGATACCAAAGTAGATTGAGATCTTGATTGCATCATCGTTAGGCCCAGCTTCTATGACACCAACCCAAACAGTTCCTCCAAATTCTAAAACAGAGAGGAGAACATAATTCTTCAAACAAATGTGAGCGTTACATTATTATCATGATACCAGACTTTCTTATTGCAAATCCCATAATTGATTTTTCAACAGAGCAACTTTTGATATAATAAATTTGTCATGTTCAGCATGAAATGTCACGTAAAAAAGCGCTCGTTATAACCCAAATGCCCTTGTGCTGTCTTCTAAACGGAGATATTTATAGAGGGTAGAGCTAGGGAGTGGAACGGGATAGGTCCCTCTAATTGACACTATGAAATAGCTTTTGTCAATTTTTTATGTTTTTTTTTGAGAAATGTTTTGTGAATCAAACTTCTGTTACCTTCACATTACCTATTACATTCTGTTACCTTCATAACACTACACCCTGAGCAAGTTGTTTTTCATTAAGTAGTGCCATAATGTGAACCCACGATTTGGATTCGTAGCCGATAACTGGTTATAATGTTAAGTGTTTCAATGAATATTTCCAATCAATAATGCACAAAGATAGATGATATCTAACTTCAATAAAAGTTACTGAAAGGAAAACGTCATCATACTCACCGAACGTTGGCAGTACACCTCCAGCACCAACAGATATGCCAATCCCAAGATTCAAGTTGGCAAGAGCAAGATATTTGAATTTGAAAGGATTCCGCCAAGTTCCAGCCATGGCGAATTGTAAGCTAAGTTTTCCAGTAAGACTTACCTCAATGGCACCTAGGATTATTCAAAACAGTAATGACGAAGATTAATGCAAGGCATCTTCATAATATATCGACTTTACCCAAGTGAATAATGAAAAGACTCAAAAAACTGCAAACAGGAAAAAGCTATGAGAAATGTAATTAAAAAAATTTTTTCCGAATATTATATTGGAAAAGCCCTAAATTATAAAATTGAATCTATGAAAATGTTGGACCTATTTTCCTTCTGATGCTCATCAGTTGTTTAATTTTTATTATTAAAAGAATATTGCAACCTGATTCCCTCACACTGAAAAGATCTGCCAAAGTACAAGACTCAAAGCCTCGTGCATCAAAAGAACTTTACATGGATATAAAATTCAATTTAAAATTTATAGGATTCTCAAGAATCCAACTCTTTGCAATCCATTTTGTGGTACCCATTAAAAATGTACACATTCACATTTGAATATTGAATCTACGTAGGGTTCCTAAAATGTTCATATCGTTTTTACTTATAATTAGAAAATCAACAAAAGAATCAAGATATTAAAATTCTAAAGAGGGTGCCACAGTTTCTTTATCAATCGAAAAGCTAAATTAACCCCAAATGATATTGGACGTTTTACTTTGCTGCTAAACAGTGCTGCCTGCATTTTCCCTATGGCCAGGTTGTTCCAAGAAATATCAAGCAAATAAACGAACCTATGAACTGCACATGACCGGAACCAAGATTCTCAGGAATGTTCCAATACAATGTACATTCCAGTTTAACAGATGACTTTTTGCCACTTAGCTCCAGTTCCAACGCTATTGATTGCAATGCAAGTGAACCGTCTTCATTTACTGGGATAGTACCAGAAAACTTTGCACCAAACTTGAAACCTGACTTTGATATCGTTCCTGAAATCTCGATTGTCGCATCCTTGCCGACCTTTTCAGCAAGCCAAAGGCACAAGGAATCTCCAAAACAACCATTGTCTTGTGGAATATTGAAAATCCCCACAAAAGTTAATCCTGAAATTGAGATTATAACAAATTAGGGTGACATTGTTCCAAATTTCAGTGTCCTAGGCATCCGCATCATCCCTGAGAGATCGTTGCTCAGAAAAGAGACATCCCCAGAAACATCCCCAATGAAAATTTCACGAACTGCAGGCGTATTCCTAGAACTATTCAAATTTACCCAATTTGTTCTTAGAACAGAGAAAATGTGCATAAGCTAACCTTTCTCTATGTCTCTTGAACTAAGATACGGAACATTAAATTTAACCACATCTTCTTTTTCTTCTTCTTCCTCCTTCCCTTCTTCGTCAGTTTTTTTGCTATCATCACTGCCCGTGCTCTCAGACTTTGGCTTTGTTCCAGCTCTCTTGAGAAGTGCCCGGTTCTCAACTTCTAATCTTCTGTTTTTCTTATGAACATGATTCCTTCCATACACTTCACCTGTGTTTGGCTCAAAAATGGGTCTGACTCGCTTCCCTTGTTTCTGAAAATACAATGAATTTTTTCAAATTATACTTAATTGATTGATTGAGAGAAATAATGTCTAGCAACGAATGTTAACGAATAAAAATCACTGCCAACGCATTTCAAAGTAACAGAGCGGTCCTTTACCTTTCTGATGTTTCGCAAATACGCGAAATGTGGCCCAAGGTTCCTTCTGCTTCGTTCGAACACCGGATAAAACTCATCTGCTTCGCGGATATCAGATCGTTTGCCAGGAGCACTGTTTTCGGTTGACGGAGCATCAGATTTGCCTTTCTGAGCATCGCCAACATCGTTTGCTTTACCTTTTTTATCTGAAGACGTTTCTACCTCACCGTTTGCATTGGAAACTATAATCACTGAAATGAAACAAAAAAACTTTCGTAACAGATCGTATGGGCCTCAATAAATTTACAAAATAGCACAATACAAAATGCCTATTAAAAAGCAAATTTTCAAGAGAATATGAGTGCTTTAATGTACTTTAGCATTTCAAACTACTACTTACCAACTAGCGATAAAAACAAAGGCGATTTTTATCTACTTTCAAGCAATTTTACAGACCAACTTGCCGAGCCAACAATAGAAATATGGTGGATACACAAAATACTAATGAAACAACGAAGCAAAAGATCCTGTCACCTACATGCAGTCATTTCAGAAAACCATGCAACCGAAAAAAGATTGCTGCCAAAAATTCTCTCCATGATCTTGTCCAATCGAATTCCTTCAATGACAATGCCAACTGCAACGGCTGTGGTTGGTTGATCTGTGCCTTTTCTCGGCTTCCAGATGAGTCCCTCGATGTAGCAGTTCTCCCAGCCCCAAAGGATTGGCTTTCCAGCAATTCTAAAAAGTCAGAAAACTTTCTTATGGCACATAATACATCATAGATTACTAGTTGGAAAAAAATTGGAAAATTTATCTTTAAATAGAAAGCTTGCCTTCTGGATATACAGGTGTCATGACGCCCCTGCTTTAAAGTTCATTCTCGCCAAAAAGCTCACAACGTTGTAATATTCAACAATCGTTAAAGCAACCCATGGACAACATCGTATATAAAAAAATACAAAAATAAAGAGGCAAACCTTAGTGACTTGTGCTCTTCTCCTTTGCCAAATTTTTTCACAAGCTTGAATTCTTTAATACCGAAATCTTTTAAGTTTCCCAACAAGCTAATAAATTCGAGCAGAGTGTTTGGTCCAATCATCTCCTGCAGTTGATCCAGTTT